TTATGCAATGGCCTACTCAATGTTAGGGCTGTTGCTAAACATCCCTTGCTTACTCACAGATATAGCATTACACACATTTTTAACATAAAAAAACGAAGATTAACTATGTCACCACTTGTAGCGTATGTTTTCAATGTCATCGGTTATAGCTACTTCACATGTATGTGTGTGTGTGTGTGTGTGTGTGTGTGTTTTGCCTGGAAAACATGGCGTTGCGCGCAAAAGGTGATGCCGCATGTTATCTTATTTCAGCTTATATCGCGCGCCGTGCAAAATATATGACGTTTCATCTTTTCCCATTACAGCTTAAAAAAATCCTGGGGAGAACCCTGAGATATATGTACAGTAACATGGAGTATTTTGTCAAGATGTTCCTTAAATATATTTGTAATAGATTGTACCCCAATTTTATGACAATGACAATTTTGTCACAAATTCCATTGCTTTTAAAAGCCAAGAAAATTCATGGTTTATGTTGAATAACAATGAAGCATCTGTTGATTATAATACTAAATGAAAAAGAGATAATATGGAGCAACAAATTCTGTAAGTGAAGCAGAAATGCTTTTTTTGAAACCATGAATTAATTCCTGGTAATGATATGAGTGATGACCTACAGATAGAACTGATTACCTATATTCATAAAATTAGTCTATTTCTTCTATGAGAGATTATGAATGATGGTCATTACAATCAGAGTTAAAAACAAGCAGTTGCACATGTATGGAACCTCAATTATATGTCTGTCTTTGGATTATTATAATTTTTTTTAAGTCAGTCATTGTCATACTAGGCTCAGCTACTGTAACTGTAATTTAAACAATAGTTTATCATCATATCTTTGTGTTTTACAGTAGATGTCATAATTGGTTGAGTGAAGTGCTGTATAACATCATGGAAGCTGCAAGCCCAGGGATTGAGCACTTACAAAAGAGTATCGTCAGTAGACTTCGATCTGGTATTGCCATTGACTCTATAACCCAATGTATTGATGAATTGGTAACCAACAGTATTGATGCTGGTGCTAGTTGTATTGCAGTCAGAACCAATATTAGTATACTGCGATTTCAGGTTGTGGACAATGGTTGTGGCCTCACTAAAGATCAACTATCCATCATTGGTGAAAGATATGCAACAAGTAAATGCAATGAACTAAGTGATCTTGAAAGATTAGAGAAATTTGGTTTCCGCGGTGAAGCAATTGCCAGTCTTAAAGATCTCTCCAGCATACTGGAAATAGAATCAAGGGAAAAAGCATCATTAAATACCTTTTGTAAGATATTTAGTAATTCGAGTCCCACTCAGGTTTTTCAAAAGAAAAACGACAGACCAAGTCAGGGAACAACTGTTACTGTTCATAGTCTCTTTCACAATCTACCTGTCCGTCAAAAGCGAATTAATGAATCACTTGAGCTTGAATCAATTCGACATAGACTGGCTGCAATCGCTTTAATTCATCCAAAAATCTCATTTTCTCTTCGAGATGATTCCTCCAATAGCATTATACTGCAGACAAGGAAAACTGGTTCAATTGGAAGGAGTTTTGCTTCTCTATTTGGTGATAAAAAAGCTGCTTGTCTGAAAGAAATCAAATATTGCAATGAAGACTTCAGCATTGAGGGTTTTATTGGGACTGATGGACACCATAACAAAAGCCTTCAGTTCATGTATATTAATAGCCGATTGCTACTTAAAACAAAGCTCCACAAGTTGGTGAATACATTACTGAGTAAATCACTAATAGCCAGAAAAAAACTGTGGCAAACCTCTGAAACAATCCAAAGTACATATAATCAGATTAATGCTAATAGTCCTGGCAAGGCAACAGATCAATTTGGAATTTTTGTACTGAACATCAGTTGCCCACTGGCAGATTATGAAATTACCCTTGATCCACGGAAGACACTAGTTGAGTTTAAAGAATGGGAGAAGATTATTGGATGTTGCACAGAACTTGTAAATGACTTCTTATTCAGGGAAAACCTCACAATGCCAATAGATAACATCACAACAGAGATACAGTTAAAGAAACAAGATGATCTATTATTACCCAGTGCAAACAGTGATTTACATAAAGACATCAGTGTAGATCGGTATGGGCAAGCAATCTCCACTTCCTCCTGCACCAGTACACTGCATTCTTTGATAGTGAAAAGGCCATCCACCTTTGAAAAACAGCAATGTCACATTAAAGATATTTTAGATTCTGATACACCTATATCACTGGACAAACCAGGTGAAAATATGAAAAAAGTTTCATTGGAGCTTAAAAGCAATATCCAAAATGATGGTAAGTCTTCAATCACATTAGATGTGACTGAAGTGTGCCCCAACAGTGATTCTACACCAGGTGCATCTGAAACAACTGAATCTATTGAAGCTGAAGAAAGATGTGCAGGAAATGATTTTACTGATGATACAGACAAGCAAACTGCTACTAACATGCAAATGACACAAAATCGTATGTTATCTGTGAAAGTAAATGGCCAAGAGATGGTTGACGAACTTGAATTCCTTGAAGAAGACTGTCATCAGAATTCTACTAAGTCACCAGAACAAACTGTTGATCATATGTTGAGTAATTCAATTGTTCCATGTGGAACAAATTTGCTATTTGACAGAAAACAAAGAATGCTATCCAGTGAGTCTGAAAATTCTATAGTTTCAATGAGTTTAAGGAAAATGTCTAATGTTAGTGACAGTGATTGCTCTAAAATAAATGTCACATCTGATATTCATCCAGAAGGCTTTAAAGATATATCCTATGCATCAAACAGTAACCATTGTACATCCATAAAAAATGATGATGCAAAACTTAAAAACCAATACTGTCATCAATGCAAATGTTCCCATGCTGAACTTCATAGGCGAACGTTTCACAAAGTAAGTGGTAAAGATCTTCTAGAAGATCTTGAGAAATTGGATGCAGACAGTCAAGAGAGTATGGAAGACAAAAACTTGTGTGATGATTCAACAAATTTCTTGCAAAAAAGGCAAAAACCATCTACCAACCATCTAAAGAATTATACAAATTCATTGCAGATATTTAAGAAGAGTGAATGCAGAACTGGCTCAGTGCAATCAATGCTGGCACATAAACTAAAACAACAAAAGGAAGGTTGTGATACTGATAAGCAAAGATATAAGCTTGCATACTTCCATCAGGTTCCAGCTGTTCTATCAAAAACTATAGGTGATAAAGAAGATACAATGGTAGCCCTGTCTTCTTTCAACAGAAATATAGAAATGCAAGCCATTAATTCTACAACCAACCAAGTTAATAATGCCAAGGTAATATTGAAGCCAAACTCCAAATCAACTCCCAAGGAAAAATGTGAAGATCACATACATGATGTTATTTTTGATGTTATTAATGTGAGATTGCAACAAGGCTCTATGCCTTCAGATGATGACTCTTTTTCATGTGAGAACAATGTCATTGTTTCAAGTGGTCACTCCATTGAGGATACTGCAGAGGATATACAATTATCTAGTTTTGATTCTAGTGATAATGAGGCTGGGCTAGATTTTGTAGATCTTTCAGTTGATGCTGAAAGTTACAAAATTGCAGATAACAGTGAAAACATATCTGGAAAACCAGTACTTGTTGAAAATCTGTCACAGTGTAGCAGAAATTCCAAAAACAAGTGTGATAATAATGCTCATCAGAAAGACAGTGATGTTTTAAAGAGAAACTTCCATGTAGAAGAGGAGGAAACAAGTTTTGGACCAAATTCTGAAACTGGAATAGAGCAATATCTCCTCGATTCTACAATTAAGTCTGCACTTGATTCAGATCTTACTAATCCATCTTTACCTACAGACAATTTGAACTCTTCTGAAAAAGAACCAGTTACAGAAAAACAGCCTTGTGAAATTTCTTTGACATCATGTACAGAATTTCTTCCCTCACCTTCAGATTCTTCATCCCACTACCAGAATCTACCAGATGCAGTGATTACAGAGAATGATATTAATGGGTGGTTGTGCCATTATGATCATAGACTTGGAAAAAATGTCTATGTGAATAAATTCACTGGTAACAGTCAATTTGTGGAACCAATCCAAATTGAGGAAGATGACAGGTCTGACTGTCAGGATGGCACTAGCTGCTCCGTATCAAAAGGTATAATCAGTATAATATTTACTATTTAGAATTTTTAAAACCCATAGGTCAGCATTGGATTCTTGATCTCAAAACCTGATTATCTTTTTTTTTTCTGTAATCAACTTGTTTTCTGTTGTGGGTACTTTCAACCTCTAGTTAATAGGTAAGTGGTTGTTTGTGCTATATCTTTGGATCTGCATTAGATACGTATTATACAATTTGGGGTGTTTTATAGTCTTAACCAATTTCATTTAAATTGTTTTAAATAGTAATTGTAATTTAAAACACCTTTTGTTTCATATGTACTTTCAGATAGAAAGAAAAGGGCACATCCATTCCTATCATGCAATGCAACACCATTTCTCCCAAGAACCAAGAAGCAGCGACAGAGTTTTAACCCACATGGAATTGCAGTGAAAGATGTGGATGAAAGTTTCGCTGAAAAAAAATCTACCACAGTATCCTTAGAAAATATGGTTGATGATCATTTGAATGAGCTGGAAGTAGATATTGAGTGCAAGTGGAAAAATCCCTCAGAAATTATAAAAACAGGTATGTAGTTTCCAAGCCACACTTTTAATTGATTAAAGTCACATACTTGACAAGTTGGAAACATAGATTAGCATGCTCACTGATGGCCACCAGGTTTTTGAATGAAAGCATTCCATCTTTTATATGCAACACATGATGTTTCATATTGGTTTTTCTAGCAAACTGATACCTTTTTAACAAAATTCATGTTGACAACAAAGAAAGTGGAAATATAATAGATTTTTTTTTTTTTTTTTTACCAGACGAGCACTTTCAGGCTATATAATACAGATAACATTTGGTTCTGGAGGATTTTTTTAAAGATAATTTTCATGGTTGGAAGCACAATTTTTTTCCAGGCCTGCCTAAAACATGTAAATTTGTTAATACAACATATTGTTTCTCTTGTTTTGTTATATAATAGGTAGTGATTTGAGCAGCCTCATAACTCACTGGGATTCTGGTGCTGCTATTTAAATTGTTAAACCAATAGGCGAAGTACTGTACAGTATATTGAAACATCATCGATAGCTGGATTAGGAATTCACAAGGATCAGTAATTTACCTTATTGTTTAAAATTTCTTTTTATCATTAATATTGTTTTAATTTATCAGATGCTATTGACAATAGTGAAGATGGATTAAATGAGGGATTTTCCAAGGTTAGAATTAAATCATCAAAGTTGCATCCACCAATAACCATGACATTCGCCTCCAAAGAGATGAGACTGATTGTTGGCTTCCATGATAGGTTTAAGAGGATGGGCCTACAAATGGATTGTGTTGAAAATGCTGTGGAAGTGACTAGTGTACCAGCTTGTTTCGTTGAACATGACGTGAGTGAAATGAAACACGGACGAAAACCAGTAACAGCCGCAGTTGTCGAGGTAAGTAGCAGGGGCGGATCCAGAATTTTTCAAGCGGGGTGCACAACATTTTCAGAATAGGTAAGTGAGTAGCACATAACATTAATATCAGGGGTGGCACCAGGACTTGCCCGACGAGGGACCATGGTCCCTGATGGGGAGGGGGGCGATTCCCCCAACGAGGCGTAAGTTTTCCCAGACGAAAGCAAAGTGGGTGTGGTCGAGCTTCCATTAAAAGTTTTGCAAAGGTGGCCCAAGGGAGAAGCACCCAAAAGTTTTGACAATTTAGGCGTTTCAAAAGGCTTATTTAACCAATTTTAATTGTAGAAAATACATAGAACCTTTTTTCTCCAAGACGAATTGTGCTTTTTCCCTCCGGGGTGGGGGGGCTGCTCTCCCTGACAGGTTTTTTTTTTTAAGTTTTTTTTTTTTTTAAATGTGTTTTAATAAGAATATTTCTATGGTTGAATTGACTATGAACACCATGTATTAACAACACTGATACAAACTGCATTTCAATCATGTCTTTATTTTTTATGCTGTCATACCAATAGCAGAATTGAGATGTTTTCATAAACTAGACATTGATTTTAAATTACACTTTGATATTAACATTTCAGTTTTGCTGCCTGTTGGACCTATATATTGTGTTTTTTTACTGATGATGAAATTTTAAGATTGTTTTATACAGTTTTTAATTTAATTTACATAATTCTATCTTTATCTAGTCATTGGTAAATGAACAATTAACCTTGTGGGTGGAGACATCAGGAGCATGTGCGACCTTGCCTCAGACAATTATCAAAGTGCTCAACTCTCAAGCATGTCATGGTAATTTAACCTCCATATTAAGATCATCACTTTCAGAAAATTTTAGCAATACAGTGAGCCCTTATCTTTTGAATTTGGTAAATACTTAAAGCATGCCAATGCCAATTTTGTTACAGTTTAACTTTAATAGGACTGTCAGGGTAATTCTCTCAATCAATAAAATAGACTGCCACAACATCTATCTGCCAAACTCAAATAGCTGCTGGATGTGGGTTAGGAACATTTAGTGCTTTTCATATTAAAATGTATGTACATTTTATATTGTATACATATTAGGTGCTATCAAGTTTGGTGATATGTTGGATATGGCAGAGTGCCAGAAACTGGTAGATGAACTAGCAAAATGTGCTCTACCGTTCCAGTGTGCTCATGGACGCCCATCAATTGTGCCAATTTTAGACTTTAACTTGATGCGACCTGTTCCTGTTTCTGAGGTTTGTATGCAATGATAATTTAGCATAAGTATTTTAAATTATTGTTGGAACTTCATTCTTGGACCAATTGTCCAATCATCTCATGTCTTTTAATTAGTCACAGTCTCCATGGACATTTCCTGAATGTCAATCAAAGTTAATAATTAACCAACCAGAACAGGGGAAGGTGGATTCTATTCTGGTTGTTAAACTTGTGATCAGGACCACACACTTACCAATCTCGGCCAGCCATGCTTTAGATACCACAACTTGCATTGTTGACAGACTGTGAAGTGGCTCAAGCTGTTTCAGCCCTGAGTGCAAGCATTCCCTGGCATAGTGAATACAGTATTTAAGTAACTCCACACGGCCTGCGGATTGCTCTGTATTCAGGCTCAGGGCCAGAAATATTGGAATCGTCCATTGTATATGGCCTGCGTATTGTTCGATATACATACGCAGGGCAGTTCGATATACATACTCAGGGCAGAGTTATGCACCCTATAGGGTGACTGCTGTAGTTAATAAATTAATTATACTGGAAGAAAAGAAGAAACTGTGAATTACTTCCGTTACAACATAACCAGATCTAGGTTTACAAGAAATGTTAATTTTGGAGTTCTGATTTAATTCCTTTTCATCTATTTTTAGGTATCAAGTAAGCCACATCTTTCGAAATTACAGAAGTCAAGCCCTGGTCGCAATGAGCCTGATTAACGACTCAAATCCTTGGACTATTAATAAAATCAACAATACAAGCTATAGCTGGTGCTAGCGCCATGAATTTTTAATCTAACAAACGAAAGCATTCAGGTGTAGTGCAGAATAATTTTTTTTAACTACACATGATCATTATATGATTAATACATGATTTAAGATAGTAAGTATATCTTTAAAAATGACAAATATTCAGATAACATATAAGTGGGATTAAACCTATGCTTAAATTTATTATTTATTAAGTCAGTATATTAAAATTCATTTTGCTCAGAGATTGTGAAAAATAAAGATAAATGCAATACATAATGTAGGCCTATGTGAAAGAATTCATAGGCCTACGAAACATGCAACACTTCTGGCTGGCCTGTAAAGGAGGGTAGAGTACAGTAGATAAGAAATGAATAAATAGTATAGAACATAAATATTCATACACTGATCTTTTCCCCTATCAAACAGATTCTTTCAATATACTAGAATGCTTTCGGCATGGATAAAATAAGTTTCTGTTCACACTGAGGGCTGAATAGGTTTCTCTTCATACTCACAGCAGTAAACTTCTGTTATACTGGTAGTTTAGTAACTTTCTGTTCATAATCAATCCTATTAATATTTAGTTCATAGATAGATAGATAACTTTATTGTTCTCATAAAAGTACCAAAGGTAATTCATCTTCCTTTGCCAAATGCTTAACAAGATTACACAAGTGCAAAATGACGAAAAAATAACTATCAAAAATATAAAGTTACATCAAAAATTTTGTATGAAAAAAGGTTATTCATTATTGTGTACATTATAAAAATATTATAATAATAATTATTACATTTGAAAAAATTAAATAATTTAATTACAAAATACAAAATTTGATCAATAATTTAGTATAAAAGTAGGTCATTCATTAATGTATTTGAATGTAATTAAGGTCTTTTCATACTGAAAAGTGCAGTAAATTCCTCTTTAAACTGACTGAAATGTTGAGTTCATACTCAGAGACATTACATTTCTGTTTGTATTGGCTGCTGAATAACTTTCAGTTCATTTTATGTCCTCAATAATGTTAAATTCATACACAGGACCACTTTCTGTTTATTATACTGATGGCTGAATAACTTTCAGTTTATACTCGTTCCTCAATAATGTTGAGTTCATACTCAGGGCCAATCACTTTCTGTTTTACTGGTGGCTGAATAACTTTCAGTTTATACTCAGTGCTCAGTAATTTTTTTTTTCCAATTTGCTCATACCTGAATACAATAATTTTTGTTTAATTTTAAAAAATATTTTGAATCATAAGAAGAGGACAGACAAGATAAATACATTCTGTTTTCTTATTATGATCAATACTTTGGGATAAATGAAAATACCTTGTATTCTTTTTTGACTGCAGCTCTATACTTTCAATTCAAAGTATCAGTCAGTCTATTAAAAACATAAAATATCTACACAAAAACATAACTTTCATTCCCATCTAAATGTTTCCTAATACTGTACAAGATACAGTATTTATTGTCAATTTATAGTTACTTTACAGTATATGGAAAGGCTTTTGTTAATAATATGTATTCAATGTTTCCTGATGAATTATTTTTGTCAATTTATAGTTAATATATAATGAAAAGTCTGTTGTTAATTTGTACATGTAAAGAAATATTGTTGTACAGTACAGGTATGTGTTATTTTCTTAAAAAATGGATTTGTCTGTCAATGATGGGGTAGAGCAATTGTATGAAAGTAATTAAGGTATATAAACCTAATGTTTTATATTGTGCAATACAAATTTTAAAAAAGTGTTAATGTGTTATCTATATGCATTTTAAGTGACATATATGATATGATACTTAATTTTGTCAAGATTTATTAATTTAGGTAATGAGTTCCTAATTTATATGACTAAGGTTAGACTGCACTGAAAATTGTATTCGGTGTCTGGAACACTTACCTAATGAAAGTGTCAGTGAGATTTTAACAATAATTTTAGCATTTATAAGTGCTCTTCACTAGAGTCTCAGCGCTTTTAACCCTGGTCATTGGATACAGAATCAATCATACACAATGTGCAGCCTCCTCCCCTCCCTGGGGAAGTATTCTTAATTATGCGTGTAATCAGCACTACTAATTTCATTCCGAATCATTCACCTCCTACTAGGTACCCATTTATACTCCTGGGTGAGGAGAGGCAAATGCAGATAAAGTGTCTTGCCCAAGTGTGACGAGAATTGGTCTCGAACCTCCGACCTTTCGATTGAAAGACTAACGCCATACACACTGCACCACATAACACAAAATAACTTGATGAGGAACTTTTCGGTGTCGGCCTTATTACGATCAGTAAAACCTTTTTATGTATGTTTCATTGGAAGTAAATAACCAATTTTAACCTTTTAAATATCCTATTCAAAGTTTTAATACAATCTGCAAGAATGAAAAAAGAAATCTCGAACAGTATAATGAACTGTACCCCACCCCAGCTACTATATGAGATCATATTAGTGGATCACTTTAGTACAAAAGATCATCTGAAACAGAAACCGAAAGGTCCACTGATTAATCTCAGATAAGATAGTATAATACATACTCCAATACTGTATTTCGACATTAATTATTTCATCATCAGGAATATCATCATCATAATCATCATCCTGATGATGACATAATTAATGTTGAAGTATTGAATCCTGACACGATGGCGTGCATTTCGATACTTGGAATATGTACAGTATTATACTATCTTATCTGAAACAGCGACTGCAAGATTATATTAGTCTATCAAAATTTCAAAACAGTTAAAATTTTATATATCTTATATTTTTTCTAATCATGCTTGCATGAAATTCTCACTTTATACTATCTGGCTTTTTCAGCCCTCATTCACTCGCCACTGAGGAAGGACTAATGTTGTCCAAAAGCTCTGGTTCTATTTCTGGCTGTTTACTTGCATTTACTTTTTAGCTGTTGCTTATCATTTTTGTATCTCTACCGAGATCCAGCCATTGTTTCCTGCAGCATTGTTGTTTTTCAGTATTTTACCTTTTAAGTTTTAATTTTCAATAGAATACGCTATAGGGCCTATGCTTTTATTTGTTTTAAATTCAACAATGATATCTTTAAACGTGGCGTTTCCATGTGGTCATTATAATGTTTTGTTTTCCAGTTTAAATATATATATATATATATATATATATATATATATATATAT